ATGATGAACATTACAGGCCTCTCTCATCTTTTTAAGTGGGAGAACTTGCACAATTGGTGGCTGACTAAATACTTTTTTGCCCCACTGTAGCTTTACAACTTGACAGACAAGTTTGCATATGGTTATTCTCAACAGCCCTGCATATTGCCCATAAGACTTATTGATGAAACCAGGTTGGATATATCAATGGATGTCAGACAGTTAAAGTCCAATGGTTTCAGATTGGAGAAGGCTGCCCTACTTTTAGAGAGCAACTATGTGGTCTAATATCTTGTCTACCTTTTGTGCAGGACGTGAAGCAAAGAAATCTCTCTATAAAAGAAGATAATGATAATCAGAATTGTGGAAGTGCAAATATTTGCTTGTATCATACAAAGAAATCATAAATATTTTCTTTTGGAAGCAAATCAGTTTAAGTTGCACTCAAGGATTCTTGAGTTCACACTGCAAAATGTCTAAAAACATGGACACACAAATAAAAACACAATATAAATAACACAATATTTAAATAAAGTTGAAGTTGCACTAACAGGATGTGTGAATAATCTCTAATGTAAAAGTTATTCTCAAACAGATAAAGCATCAACTTTGAAATAAGGAATGAATGTCTACGACAACCACATCTTAGTCTGAGAAGCATTAACTTTTCCTCTAGGCTGTGCTTGTGCAATATAGCAATTCATGACTAACTTAATCATTGTTTTCCTGACTGATCCAGCATGATGGGGTTTGACAACATGATGAACCAGAACACTGGTTCATATAAGATGTGAGGTGAAAATGTGATTGGCTAGTTTCTGATTCAGTGTGTCCTGCAAACACAGCCCTGGATTTTTTTTTTTTTTTTTTACACAGTATGGAAGTTTTGGCAAACAGTGCTCCCTACTTGCTCCTGCAGTGATATATAAAGGGACACCAAGGTAATTTGGTAGATAAGAGAAACTGTAGACTACATAAATACGGCTCACATCATAGTTGCATAAACCATCCTGCAAACCCTGTAGATTTTGGATGTAGCCTCAGAGTTCCTCTAAGTTGCCTTTAAATTGTAATTTTTAACATGACAGCAAGGGAAATTGATTAAATAGGAAGAAATCTCATAAAATGTATTGTTTAATTAACTTTATATTGGATACAATCTAGTATTTGCCCAGAGTACACATGCTTCTGGAATTATAGTTCTCAGACTAACGGAAGTTATGCATCCTTAGGCTATACCATGGATGAACATCTCAGTGTGTTTTCTTTTCTTACATGGAGTTGTACTGTACATTCTTCATGCTTAAAAGAGCACAGAGCCTTCACTATTGCTGAGTCAGCAACCAACAACAGAATAGGAAGTCTTGAATTTGATTCATTCCATTTCCACACCTTCACCCCCAGAGCGATTCCAACTAGCGCTGCTTATGGAAGATGCTACATCATAAACTGATAAACTGGAGGTGTTGGGATGAGTTAATTTAGCAGGATAATGATTCAAGTTATCCAGTTAACCCCTGGTATTACAGAGTTACTGGAAATAAGATGCTTTTAACTCCCTAGCAGCCCTTTGCTTTCAAAGATGATTAAGCCCGCAGTCCTTGATAAATGGGAAGAGATGAGATGTAGATGAAGCCATAGGTATTTTAAAATTGATGTTGCAACCAGTCATCTAAATGAACTAGCATGTTACAACTTTGATATGACAAAGTGCTGATGCAACATAAATGTTTTTCTCTGCTCCACTTCAGAACTGTCTAGGATTTTGGTCCAAAACTTCAGTTCTTGCTTTTCAATTCAGTCAAAGTTAGTACAGATGAATAAGCAACTCTTATTGGGCAAACTAAATATGCCACTATTAATGCACCTATTCTTCCAATATTTTTTTTCTACCTATAAGAAATCAAACTTAGAGTGGCATAATAATGTAATCAGTTATAACTACTTCCTGGATTTTCTCCACTATCCCAAATGACACAACATGCACGTTTACATGACAGAAAATGTTTTTAATTTTTTAAGCATTTTTCTAGGAGTTGGTAGGGAAGTGAATATTAAAAAACAAGATAGAGGACTTTCTGTTTAAGTGTGCTTCGTTATTAGTAAAATGGGAGTCCCAGGAACCAAACTGAAATCACAATCTAGCTTTCCATTATGTCAAGGCCAACACAAAGCACATGGCTATGATAAAAGCATTCTGCTGTGGTGTTACTGCTTAAAGAGGGTGCCACTGCGGATCCCGATGTACATCACTTTGCCCATTCGAAGAAATAGTTTGTCAGGTTTCCATGCCCATATTGTATATCATGGATGGTGTGCTCTAAACTAATGACTATCAGGAATTTGCATGGCCTGGGAGATTTAAACCACACCTCCAAATCTCTGATCTGTAAAGCTTAATGCAGCCCTTCACCCCTGTAGGTTGATTTACAACTCCTTAGACTTCATTTCCAGTCTTATAGAAGTCTGTGGAGCCCTTCCTGCTGTGTCAGATGTAGCTGGAAGATGGATGATAAATTGTGCAGCTTTACCATAAAGAATATCTGAAAATAACTTAATTCATAAAGCGTACTCTTGTATTGTGGTAGATGACGATAGTTGTGATTGTGCTTCATCCCTTTGTACAAAGCCACTTTTTAGAGCAGAAGTTCAGCTGCAGGCAGTTAAGAGTGAAGCCCACACCAAGCCCCTTTGTAATTCTTCATTTGCCTCTGCATATTATCCATTAAGCTTCTTTCAGTGAAGGCTGGGCCTTCTGCCATACCACAGACACTCTGGTGACATGCCACTAAAGGAATCCTTTTCACTAAAGGCTCCTAGGCTTTGATGAAAAGATATTTGTGTATATCTCAGGAGTTATTTTTGGAACTTCCCCATCGGCAGCTTCCCCTTTCTTACATTGATTGATTGTTAAAGTCTTAGCTGGCTAAAAAACGGCAGAGGGACCTGTCACAAAAATAGCTAAAAGGAAGAGTCAGTGTGCATGCACTCAAGCATGTGTCGGTGCGTACTCCAGAAGCAGTTTTTCTTAGCAGCAGCTCGTACAGTAAATAACCTGTCTTGGTTTTGTTGTTGTTGTTTTCAAATGTAAGAAAGGTAGAGCATGCAAACTGCAGGTAGAACAGAAATGAAGGAATATTCTTTGGATCCTTTACAACTCATTGACATAAAAGCAGCCATCTCCTCAATCTGATTCAGGCTTCTTGCTCGATTTAGAAGATCGGTGTTTTCTCTTTTTCTTTTTCTTCTTCTTTTCTTTTTTCTTTTTCTTCTTCTTGCGTTTCTCCTGACTTTCTGAGGAACTGGAACTGTCACTGCTGCTCTCTTCATCTGATGTGGAGTCTTCCAGCAACCGCTTCAACTGTTCTATCCTAAGTGCATAAACAGACAATGTCAAATAATATTTGCTTGGACAGGTTTCATTTCTCTTGGATACCCACATTAAAACAGAAACTTTGGAACTATTACATTAAAGTAAAAGGGGTTCTTTATAATTAAGAAGTCACTGTTTTTTCCAGACAGTGTGTGAAATGCAGTGGTTGTCATAACAAATGGCTGGCAATTTTCCTGATTCACATCTCACAGGGCATTCTGTCTCCTGACAAGTCACCATGTCTCAACTTCAAACCTGGGGACTATATTACTGATTTTTCTTGTAATGATTATAAAATATTTGGAAAATTATGAAGATTGGTATCATCACTTTCATCATCATAATTGTTTAAAAGAGATCTAAGCTTACCTCATATCCTTTTCATAACGTTTATTTTCTCTTATTATATCATACATGGGGTCTTCATGTGCCTTAGAGAGAAAAGAAAGCTTCATGTCCAACCAAATAATTGCTTACAAGTTTTTAAATTCTCAGTGTGATGCCCTCCAGATGGAGTTGGACTGAAATTCCCTTGAGAATTCTGGGGTTTGGAATCCAAATATATCTGAAGGGCACCAGATTTGGAAGGTTAGTCTACACCATTTCTGCACAGAAAACACGTGGCATTTCCTACACAAGAGTGGCAACCTTTTTCCTAGCCAAGGTTGTCACTTAAATTCCATGTAAGGTGCGGTGGGTGGGGTACAACTCTAACAAACATTAACAAAGGTGAGGACACATTAAAAATTCTGACCCCACTCACCCAAATTTTGATGGCAAACTACATGACCAAATCTTCAGTGGCAACTTTTGCAGAAATTCTGGAGATCTCAAAATAGCATGGTATAGTTTGCTAGCCAAGGCTGTCTGCAACGCCCACCCCACCAACCTAGGGACACAAGCAAAAATTTTGTCAGCCTATTTTTGAAGACTGTCCCCATGCAGTGACTGTTTTATCTCTACACTCTTTTGCTGTGTACAGGTTGACAGAGAAGAATCAATATCAGTGTAAGGAATAAATCTATGTTTAACTTCTAACTTGTGAATCAGCTTTATTTCTCCCAATCAAAGGGTTAGTTCAAGAAAAAATTTTCAGTTTGATAAATTCATACCCTGTATCTTTTAAATGCATTAACAGTTTGTTAAACCAATTTCCTGTTATACAATTGCACCCATCCTTCTTTGAAATCCTGTTTTGGAGTCAGAGCTTAAACCACCATATCCCACATATGATAAACCGAACCACCAAAAGGAAAACAAATATGCCATTTTCAGCCTTATTCCTAATTCTTTTAAACTACAAATGCTAAAACTGAAATGCAAGGGTGTAAAAAATTAGAATGTAATTCAAAGCAATGTAATAGTTACAATGTTTTTACGTGATTAGTTAATTTTTAAATATTTACTTGCATTTTCTAGCTTACAATTAGTTCAAAATGACTGGATACAGAATCTTTCTAATGTGTGCATCAATTCTAAATGCATAAATAGCCAAACACCTTACAAATAGTCACTTATCTAATAACTTGTGATTACCCAGGCAATTAGATAAGACAATCTGTATAAAACTTGGTGGGATTTACAGTGGGGCAAAAAAGTATTTAGTCAGCCACCAATTGTGCAAGTTCTCCCACTTAAAAGGAT